TGTTTAGCAGACAACCAGAGGGAGGTCTGGGAATTCTCCTTGCTCTGAGACTGAAATTCATTCATGATGCAGGGAGGATAAACGCCTACAACTGGGTGTTCATATTCTTTCAGTTCTATGCAGCCACTAATGACCTTCAGGGAAAACAACTGTTTTTTTGGTGCATTATAGTAAGCAGCCAAATGCCACACTGATTAATTTAAAAAAGAATCACAGAGAAGAGCAGTGACTGTTAGGGTAGGGAAATGCAATAAGCAACGGTAACATTAGCGTGTTTTACTATGAAAATTAGCAAAGCAATTTACCCAGAAACTGTAGCCATTATCAGAATTCTTAACACTCAGATTTCTCATTCTCTTTTGTAAGCATTAATCATATTTTATTTTTAACTAGAAACCTCAAAGCAGTATTAAATTAAGTGAAACTTTAATAATGAAATTGCATACAGTATTATTCAGAAGTTATGCAGAGAAGCTTTAATATACTCCATTAGGCAGAGAAAAATGTTGAAAGGATATGGTTAATGTTCATCTGCAGTCAGTTTCTCTCTTTATTACAAGAATTCTGCAATTGACTTCAATGGGAGGAAAACCAGCCCCTTCTGCGGTGGTGTAATAGCGTGGGTTAGTCTCCTGAGTCACTAGAAAAGCATTATAGAATAAAGTCAAACTGAAGGATGGTGCCTGATATCACATAGGAAGGAAGACACTTATTAAAAAGGTCAGCTGGATGGTTGTAGGGGCTGAACTGGGGCTGGCATTTGCATGCTGGGTCTCAGCAGGGGTGGAACGAGCAGAGCAGATGGGAATGAACCTGTGGGGCTGGGCACTCAAAATCTTGTGTCAGCTCTGCCAGCCCCAACCAGGGTGAAGTGAGGGCACCGCTCCATCTATCACTAGGCTCTCTTCTCAAGCATTCTGCACAGGGTTGTCTGGAAAGGGAAACGGGAGGAAATGGGTAAAAATGAAAGAAACGTAGAATGAGTTTTCTTGCTTTTCTTACACTTAATTAAAGCTATGGGCTTGGTAAAGTCCTGAAAATACTGGAAGCATGAAAATAAAGGGAGGAAAGCTAGGAGCTACAAGGAGCACTAAGTCTGGGGAAAAACTGTATGCTCTGCTGAAATATGTTACGACATATCTACCACACACTTCAGCAGCGTGCAAACTACGAGCTCCTCTTTAGTAGTCAGCTTTGTGGACTTATTCAGCCCCTCCATCTGCTGCCTTATAAGATATTTGGCAACTATGTAATTACTAGATTTTCAAGACTTTTCTCCTTAAAAAGGAGGTGGGGGGGAGGAGGGGAAATGACCATTTTCTCTTTGGAGAACCTGGGTGCACGTGCAAATTTGCATTCTATAAATTCCAAAAATTTGAGGAAAGACATTAAAAATATGTGGGATTCACTCTTTCCCTACCTCAAAAAAATCCTTAAAAATAGTATTGATTTCATTATGCAGTTCTCTTGCCCTCACATGTGTCAAAAAGCTGATGTTCAGAATGGCATAGTTCTAATAATTTTCTTTTCCTGTTGTATTTCAGCTGCTGGCTTTCCCTCCTTTCACTCTGTGTCTGCTACTAAGGACAAAAAAATGGCACATTCAGTGAAAACTAAAGAATTAAAAGAAAAAAAACAAAGCTCCTAAGAGGTAACACTTACAAGTCAACTTGAAATGAACAGGAAAATCTGAGTTTCCCGATAACATGTGTGTTTTCTTCCAAATTAATTGAAATCAGTGTGAAGGAAAAGCAACTCACTTGGAACAAATAGGCAACAGAGCTTCATTTTCATATAAAATATTGCTACTGTCAATGGCCCAAGCAGTGATCAAGACAGGATGTTGAAACTGGGAAGAAGACCAAAACGGACTAGTAACACTTTTTATGTGGGAAGTGAGACAAATGAATGATAGAAAGTAGACTATAACACAATGATACAAGGGCAAAAAGAAATTGCTGATGCTCCAGTTAAATAAATAGGTAATATCACTATGCTAGTTACAGTGCTATACTTTATATTGTTATTAGACTTACTAATAACTCCCTGCAACATATTTCACTAAGTTCTGTCTTTAAATGGTACCTTAGGCAACATGTGTATAAATTCTGTACGCCATGGGAACCATTTCTTTTATTAAGTTAAAATGAAAAATCATATTCTTGTAGCAAAAACAGGGGTTGAGTTAGAGCACTTCTTTTTGTTCAAATGAGAGAAATTGCTTAAATAACACCCTTGAACTATTAGACTGCAAAGGTTTACTTTGAAGCTATACAGTGGAAGAAAAAACACCATCTCTCTCTCTAAAGTTTTAAATACTTATTTTCACATACAAAGACTTTGAGATTCCTTGTTGGCATCAGGACAGTAACCTTGTCATATTTCAAATATGCAATTTATAGAGAAGCTCTCTTTTCAAATGGTTTATGGCTGTGACTTTCCAGATACAGCTGTGATTTAACACATCAGCTGTTACACAGATGTCTCATGAAAGGTAAGTGCCATTGGTAGGGTTGAAGGTTAAATGTCTTTGAAGTCCAAAAAGAAGCAGTAATAGTGGTCAAATAATACATGCCTTGTGAGAGCTGATTCTTTTTTCTACATATCTTGATAAAAAGTTGGACTATTATACAAGTAGTGCTGCAAAATGAAACTATCAAGAAACCATCTTGTAAAAAGATCTACATTTCTATCCTGGAGTCCTCACGTTTATGATAGACTGAATCATCCCTCAATATGTCATTAACAGATAAGATTGTTGACTACTTTATCAGTTCCCACCATTTTTTAGAAATACCTATTTCTTTTTTTCAAGAATACAGTTAAATTGCATAATGTAAACTGAGTCGTTTAGGATGTATTCCGTGGGAGATGGGAGGGTCTATTAAAGGAAATGAACCTTTTAAGTTGAATAATCCTGGACAGAAGTATTTGACCTGAAATTTTAAGTAAAAGTATTTTTAGCACTGGTGGAAATTTAATTCCCAGGACAAAATCATTAACGTACTAATTTTGGCGAAGGTACTTTTTGCTACAAATGAGGTTGTTTCAGTTGAGTAGGAATTTTTACTTTGGCTTTATTTGGTGGGTTGTGTTTTATTCCTCCTGAAAATTGATGATAAAAAGCATTTTTTCTTCTGCCAAGTTGTAAAATATGAGGACAGATAGGCATCTGGTGAAGCTGTCAGTGCTCCAGAGAATTCTTTGGAGCTGTAACAGTGTCTGGGTTTGTCACATTGCTTCTTTCCACTGGTAGTTAGGGGGTTTTCTGTAACGATCAATTAGTGTGCAGGCAATATGTGTGATTTGGCATGTGCCTGACATGAAATTGTGCCTGAGCTTTCCTGTAGATTGCCCTAGAGTTGGCTTCTGAACTCTGAAGCTGATTTTTTTGGCAGTCAGAATTCTAGGTTTCTGATATTACAAATAAATGCAAAGGTCTGAACACCAACACTGTTTTTGTTTTGGTTTTAGGTTTTTATTTGTTTGGTTGGTTTTTGTTTTTGTTTTTGTTTTGTTTTGGGGTTTTTAGGTTTTTTTTTGAGGGAGAAGCAATAAACAATAAAAACAAATATGGCACAACCAGCCATTTTTTAAACAGTTTAAAGACTGAGTCCTTTCAACTGTCCAACTGGAAAACATTGATCTGCATCACTTAGGATCCAGTTTTTCTACCAACGTGCTCAATTTTCTATATGATCAAACATCAAGGGCAGTTAAAGTGCTTTTCAATAACATGAAAGTCTTAAAGACCTAATAAAATGAGAGGAGAAACTCCCCCAGCCACATGTGTAAAGGACAGAAGGTGTTCACACAGGTACTCATGGAGATTGTAGATGTGGGTCACCTCTAGGGCATTTAGAGGTTTTTAATGACATCAGTTTAAAAGTCCAAATTTCTCTACTAGAATTTAGAGTAGGACTCTGTGCTACTGGAATGAATTTCTTACTGTCATTTTTCTTTTACTCATATTCTTCTTTGATTCTGTTGTGTTTTGTGGTTTTTTGGTTTTTTTTCAAGAGCAAATATGATATTTTTACTTTTGATGGTTTTTAACATGAATAAACTGAAATATACAAAAATATCATAAGGCTTTTAAAACCATATCTTAATTTCAGTGCCTGTAATTTTTATTTGTCTTTTAAAATTTGGATTTCTTTTTTTTTTTTTTTTGTCATCCATATGCTCATAAATCTCTATATGAATGTATCTGTAGTCAGAGCAGTCAACTACCATTTGCTGAACAAGGGAAAGCTTTACAGCTGCAGAACTTTGTGGTATTTCTTTGAGTATCTTTCAGAGTCACAGCAGGATAAGTTTGTCCTCTCTATGGATTTTCCATTAACAAACTCTCACCCACAAATAGATGCTTCTCTGGCATAGAAGGACTGAGAGCACAGTTGCCATCTGCTCTCTTGCTGTCCAAGTAGCTCCAGCTCTGGTGCCTCTTTCATCAGAAGTCTGTGCAGGCTTAAACAGAAAACATCCAGAAGCTATGTTCTTTATCCAGAAGGCCTCACTATTGCTTATCCCCCTGGAGAAGACTCTGAACCATTCTTTCGTATCAAAGGAGGCAGAAAGTCTGGGCGAAGCTTGTAACACACTGTGGAATGGCGGGATAGAATGTGTGTTGGAAGTATGAAGATTTAGGGAAAATATTAAAACATTTCTTTGAGGTTCCACAGGCTGCCAAGTGTAATTCTTGCTCGCCACACTGGTTGTAGAAACGTATGAAAAAACATAAGAGTTGAAGAGAATAGTGAGGTTACCTCCAGTACCAGAATCCTTCAGTGAAGACAAGAACCTCCACAGCAGAAACCAATAGTTGGTGTGTGGTTGTGTAGACCTGACTCCTTTTGGAGGTAATGAAGTGCTGCTTTGACTACGTCGATGCAGTTTAGAAGCTTGGAAATATGTTCTTACATATTTGCTCTGTTACAACCCTACAAAAGAATATCTCATTCGATGAAGTCCATTTTTTGTAAGTTGTGAGGAATTTTTCCAAGTGATTTGAAGTGTTCTGGTCATTGCAATGTGAGGATGAGGATCACTGTGGGTAACAACTCACAATCCTGCTGGAAGGCATGGCCTGGATCAAGGATAAACTGAGATCCTGCAAAAGAGAGTGAGTTGCTCAATGGGAGACTGAGCTCTGTTAAGGTAAGGAGGAAGTTTGAGACTAAAGAATGGGCAGAAAAAGCACTTTCAATTATTTGATGTGTTATTTCCTGTATTTGATGTGAAGTTTTAACTTTTTGCCTTCTTTTTTTTTTTTTTTTAAATCATGGGAAACTAACTGTGCAATCCTTCATGATTATACCAAGATACAATAATTTGGTTTTTTCTCTTTATTTTTAACATGTTATAAAAAACAACAAAACCAACAACCTTGCATCACCATTGGCTCTGCCATACATATGTGGTATATGTACAAACAAATACCCCAGGGAAACAAACCTCAAAATTGTCAAGCTAGTGCTCAGAAAACTATTAAACAATCTTAAAAGTGAAGTTAACTAAGAAAGGTCATAAATGACTTCCATATTTAAAAATGGAATGGTACAATACTTAGCTGTTACATGTACTACATTTGTTTTTAGGTACACAGGAATTTTGACAGGATCCACTAAAGGTGTGAAGATATAAATGGTTTTGCAAGCAGGTTTAGAAAAAAAATCAAATACTGAAAGTGGAAATGTTCTGTCAGAATGAAAAAAAAGCAAAATAGATATGCCAAGAAAATATCCTGTTCCTCTAACTTGTGAAAAGAAGCTAAATTGTTGTTAATAAGTTCCTATTTGCCTCACAAACATGCATTAATATTTCTTGAGGAGGTTTTTATTCCTTAGTTTACAATAACAAGTACTTTATGTCACTGACAGCCGTCAGAGACTAATTAATTATGTTTTTTTATGCTGTTGTGATGTTCATTTCAGATGCAACTATCTGGATTTTGAGGCCCTCTTTGCTCTACTTTGTTATGGTTAATATGAAGTGTAGAAATAATTTCAGGGTACTATCTATCCAAATACAGTAATGCACACTGTAACAGCAAATCCATGAAAAAACACTTGTAAAAATACTAGAAGAGATACATAACTCTAAAAAGAGTGAAAATCTTTGGAAACAAATTGGAATTCCGTGTGATTATGTGGGGAAAATCTCTGAGAAAATGCAACAGTTGGAGAGTCAATTTCCTGAATGGTGGAGAGAAACAACCCTACAGTTTTACTTAGCTGTACGGTTGATGTAGTGTACACTAAAATACTCGTTTTACTTATCCACAGTTCCATGTCCCTGTTGGCTTTCTCAAAGAAACTAAACAGTCTGAGAATTGACATTAATGTTTTAACTTTAGGAAGTACCAGATCTACACTGAAGAGAACTTTTGTCTAATGATGGGTACTTCCCCCTCTGATTAACAGGACTACCATTTCCTTTTAAACTCTGACAGGCTTTGGCCAACTCTTGTGACCAGTGGCTCAAGCTGGTTCCTCACTCTTGCTTAAAAACCAATCCAACAGGTTTACTTTATATCACTGTGACACCACTAGATGGTGAACCAGCTTCAAGTGATACGATTAGATCTGAAAGGTGTCCAAATCAGAAGACCAGATTCTAACTCAGATTTTGGAAAAGACTGACTTAGAAATAAGCCTTTTCCTTAAAACCGAATGCCTCAACTGTAGCCATATACCTTCCAAACTGGGATAGCACCTGTGATGTCATTAGTGATTAAACCCTGCCATCTTCCCAGACTTCAACAAATACAGTGCAAAAAAAATAAAGGCTCTTTTTATCACCTTTCTTTTCCTCCCCCCCCAAACTCAAACCTAGTGAAGAGCAACATAGGACAGTTGGTTCTGCAGCATATTTCTTCCTTAGGAACACAGAAATCAGGAAAGGGCTTTAGGACTACTGAATCCAATCATTTTTTGTCACAGGTAGCCGTGTCATAAAATACTTCTTACAACCTATTTCTAATACATCTTAAAAGTCCATGGAGGATATTTAATTTTTACCATACCAATGGTAGTGCTAATTCCCACACCACCTGGGAAGCACAGAGCTCCCTCCAGTTGAGACTTCTATTGCCAGACCTCTGTGTTGGGCTACAAATTCATGGTCACCAACCATGAAACACTTCACCTCCTCACTATTTCTTCAGATTAGTTATGCCACACATGCCTGGATTTGGGGGTTTATTTTTCCTTCCAACTCTTAGGCTATTTTAGTAGTTATAGGGATGAACAGCTCTGAATATCTCTGAGAACTAACAGTTTAGGACCTGACTCAGTAAACTATGTAACATATTAACTTTAAACTTTGTTTAAGGTGCTTCAGACTTTGTTAGAACACCATATGCGTGGGTTTGCAAGCAATGACAGTATATTTAAGACCATTTTGAGAATAATTTTAAGAATATATGTGTGAGACCTGCTTAATTCTCAGAAGATTACAGTGAAACATTTAAAGGTTAAACTATATGTTAATCACACTATTCTGTTTTTCTTTTTTTTTTTTGAACCCAGTTCAAATGCATTTAGAAATGTCTCAATTTGTCTACCATGACATGAAAACAAAATGTCAACTTGTATCTCTAGCATAGGTCTGGGAAATCTTCTATTTCTAGTATTTATCTCATACCAATGGTTCCTTTTTTCCAATAAGTACCTGGAGCTTTCTACTCTTATTTTGATTTTTGTTTCATGAAACTACATTTATTATATCCAGTAATGACTGAAATGACCAACCTTGTCCAGTGGAAGGTACTCCTGTGAATGGCTAGCCTATTGAAACTAGATGATCTTTAAGGTCCCTTCCAACCCAAACCATTCTATGATTCTGTAATATTTTTTAGGTCTGGAAATTCTGTTTTATGTCCATAAGAAACCCCTTCTAAACAACAACAACAGTAAAAAAGGAAAAGTATATGATAATTCTTCAAGAAGAATTGAAGTCAAAAAGGTGTGATAGTTTTGGAGAAAATACAATACTTCATACACTAATATTTTAATGTTTGTAGGTTCAGGCCACAGAAAATAAAGCAGAAAACACATCAGTTTTTCTGTTGATTAAAACCCATCAAACCAGCAGATGTTTTCCCAAGGTTAAAATTCAAGTTCTTATTTATGTACTCTCAAGTTTACAGATACTTGACTGAATAAAGGGTGCTTATCTGGACCTGTAAGTTTAAAATAGAAAAGCTTGAGGACCTTGGACAGACTACGAAAGGCTTCAGTTGAAATGTGAGTAAAAATGTAAAAATGTGTACCTTTTCTTTTTTTTTTTTTTTTTCCATTTAAATCTTATTCAATCTACTGGAAAAAAATATTGAGATATTTACAGGTCCTGTTTTTCCATTTTTCATATTTTAAAAATTGAAAATATCATGAGTATTACTGAGGCAGTGCCTAGATTATAATTTATTTTCTAAGTAGATAAAGTACTAAGAGCTTTGTTTCTTCATTTGCTTGTATGTCACACAAAAATTAATCATATTTTTACAAGACTGTTTGTATTTTCTTTTGTTTAAATGTCCCAAATTCGAATGTGGACTCAGATACAGAGTAGCAATATTCCAAAATTAACATGAAAGGAAAGTGATAGTTAATTATCTGCTCTGTTTCCAAAAGCTTGCAAGAAATGGTTTTTCTCTTTAGGATATCATAGTTTTAGAAAGCAGGAAGAAGATGGAAAACAGCCATACACGACATAATTCCCTCAAAGACTGGAGGGTGTCCAGATAGGAACATCAAGAGGCTTTTAGTGCTGTTAAATTAGAATCAATTTCCCTTCTGGGAGGGGACTAATTTGCAGACAGAAAAGAAAAACAAGCTGTAGTAGAGATCATACCTACTAGGTATGGCATAGTTGGTTACTGAATTTCTCCCTTTCCAACCCTTCTTTAGATACCACTGCTATTAAATAAAGATAAACAAATCTTTACTTAAACAAGTCCACTGCAATGCATATCTTTGGGAGTTTTTTTGTTTATTTTTTCCCCAATAGCTACATTAGATAATATAATAAAAATGGTGATAATTATAGTAAGCTTTTTGCAAGTATGTTCAGTTAATTATTTCTTGTGAATTCAGGAGCATATCCTAGGATCAAGGAGAAGGATGCTTCAAGAAAAACTTCTAGTGGAATCAGAATATATTATGTCTCTTCATTGCAAGGTATGAGGGTTAAAAGGCTTCCTTCCATACCTGAAGGACAGGATGCCATCCAGAGAGACCTTGCCAAGATTGAGAAGTGGGCCCATGGGAATGTCAGGAGGTTTAATAGGACCAGGTGCTGCACCTTGGCTGAGGCAACCCCTGGTATCAATCCAGATTGAGGGATGAACAGATCGAGAGCAGCTCTGCTGAGAAGGACTTGTGGGTGCTGGTGGGTGTGAGGCTGGACATGACCCAGCAATGTGCACTCACAGCCCAGAACACCAAATGTGTCCTGGGCTGCATCCAAAGCACTGTGGGCAGCAGGTGGAGGGAGGGGATTCTGCCCCTCTTCTCTGGTGAGACCCCACCTGCAGTGCTGCATCCAGCTCTGGGGTCCCAGCGCAGGAAGGACATGGACCTGTTGCAGTGAGTCCAGAGGAAGCCACCATGGTGATCAGAGGGATGGAACACCTCTGCTATGAGGAAAGACGGAGAGAATTGGGAATGTTCCACCTGGAGAAGAGAAGGCTTCAAGGTGACCTAATTGCAGCCTTCCAGTGCCTGAAGGGAGCCTACAAAAAGATGGAGAAGGACTACTTACAAGAGCATGGAGTGACAGGGCAAGAGGGAACGGCTTCAAAATGAAAGTAGGTTTATCTTAGACATTAGGGAAAAATAAGTTGCTGTGAGGGTGATTAGGCATTGAAACAGATTGCCCAGAGAAATCGTGGATGCCCCAGCCCTGGAAGTGTTCAAGACCAGGTTAGACGGAGCTCTGAGAAACCTGGTCTAGTGGAAGGTGTCCCTGACCATGGCAGGGTGTTGGAACTAAATGATCTTTAAGGTCCCTTCCAACTCAAATCATTCTCTGATGCATGGATATGCTAGTGAATGCTGGTAAATTAGTCATGAGAATCTCAGTTATTGTGCCTGCTAGAGAAAACCTGAGCAGAGCATCAAAGTTAAGATACACTGGTGTGAACATTTAGATCTAGAAGTCCTTTGTGTCTGAAGTTTGCTAAGCAAGTACACTCCCATGGTGAGCTGCTAATGGTGCGTATTAAGTCATACAATGGCTGTGAATGGAGCAAACCAGATAATTGCAATTGAAAGGTTTCCAGGACCTACTGTTTTGTATTAAATTCTTTTTACTCCTCTTCCTAACCTCTAAAATCTTTCAAAACTGTATGAATGAAACACGAAAAGTAAGCCTCCAACTCTTCTGGTTTCCCCTGCTTTTAAAGCAGTTAACTAAATTAATTAAATTATTTTATTGATTTAATTATTTCATTATTAATTAAATTGAGGATGAGGGTTTATACATTGACTACATTTTGTACAGCTTTGTAGTGTTTCATCCTGTCACCCTAATTCCTTTATATAATCCATTTAAGGTGCAAAACCAGACGTTGCTCTCTCAATGGGACCCTGTATTACCCCAAAATGCAGTATAACTGTAGTGCCTAATGTCTCTTTCTTCAACACTACTATAAACAACTATAAACCCTGCCATCACTGAGACCTGCAGGATAGGTGCACATTTTGATTGTGAAATATGACAGCACTGTGTTTTAAAGAGCTGCCTGAAGGAGGGAGGAGAAATAAGAAGAAAAAAAAACAAAAGTGGAAAACAATATGAAAACCAAATCAATATCCTTGCTCTCATCAGCTGCTAATAAAGAATTAAATTTTACTTTCTTGTTTTGCAAACAGACAGACTACAATACATATAAAGAAAAAGCCAGACACTCCTTTCCCCACTCTCTAAATAAAATTACTGTGCATTCAGATAAAAGAAGAGTTTTGTTTTAAAATCAAAAAGCTATCGTGCATCATCCCCGATGAGGTACAAAAACAAATTCCCTAATTATAAAGCAGAAACTTACTTTCAAAGGTTCTTTTTTTTTTTTTTTTTTTTCTGTCAAAACTGGAGCCATGAGAAATGAGAAGATGACCCTGGCAGCCTTCAAACAGGTCTTTTAAGAAGAATAAGGCTTTCGTTTGTGTAAATAGGATCTGTCCTTCAAAATTCACTTCTCAAATCCAGGTAGATATTGAAATGAGCAGGTTGACAATATGCAGTCTATAGAGTAGTTTCTAATATTTCTCTCTAGAGGTAATTGCTGGGAAATCTGTCTCTATTACAGAACCCATCCTCAGGAAAGCCAAAATTATCTGAGACAGGATGCATAATGTTTAATGTTAGAAATGAACTCCATTCAGTTGGAAAATACCTATCAGCACTATATTTTGTTGCATACTGTAATTACAAAGTTAATTTTGCAAATCTCATAAGCTGAGTACTTTGAAGATTCATTTGAATTCTTTAAATGCTGGGCCTAATAATGTTGCAGGTATTTTGAACAACTTTATTAAACTGAAGAAAATTATTCCAAAGACCTTAAAGATGGAAAACCCCCACATCTAGAAACTATTTCTGCTTTTCTACCATTGAAGAGAATAGATCTAGGGATAAAAATAATAAAGTTTTGAAGGAAACCAATTCTACCTAAAATTGATAATACATTAATGGATTTTATAATTCCTTTTATCTACTTCCTGTTTCATGCAATAGAAAATATTTTAGAATTCTATGTTTTTTTCACTCTTAACCCTCAACAGAACCGAGAAATGTTGCTGAAATGTCTTGGAAGCAAGAAAGACAATTTATCTTCAATCCTTGGAAAGGAAAGGATTCAGAAAGGTAAGTCATGCAGCCAGAGGAGATTAGGATTTCAGGTTTAGCATTGACCATCTGGGTTCTGATGTCAAGGCTACTGAAAGGAATGCAATAATTGAAAATGGGTGACAAGATCTCAGACAAAACTTGCATCTATGCACAGAAAGATGAAAGGCTGTTTCCTTTAGCTGCTCTTCAGAAAGTCTTTGAGATTTCGGTGACACATATGAGGACAGAAAGGTGGCTAGGTTAAGAAATAAATAAGCCTGAACATAATCTTTAACTCTATGCTAAAAATATCTTTTTATTGACAGGGATTGTCAAGTGTTGATTGAGAAATCAATATTTGTGTTGTTAACATCCTTAACATTACTATATGAGCAGAATTAAAAATGAACTTTTAAAAGCCATATTCTAAGTCACATGAAATTATTTTTTTAATTGAAACAACTCCTTAAATCTTGTGAGTCTGCATGAATTTTTACTGGAATTCCACAGTTAAGGACTGTAATATTTTCTGATTGATTATGTCTTGCCTTTTAGTATATAAGATGGAATTTTGAATTTGTGGAGTAGCTTAGTATCTCAAGTGTATTAATATCAGAAGGAGAATTTATGAGGATACTTGAAATGCCATATAAAGGATGTTACAGAGGAACTTTGAAGGTTTTGTACAGCCTTTTCTGATGCAAGACTGGCCCAAAAAATGTCTATTAAAGCACTATGAAACTGCACAGGAATCAAAGCTGAGGATTTCATCTTCAGATGGATCTGATCAGAGATATTCCATGAACATATGTTTGAGAAAACTTTGATTTCTTCCATGCTGGTTTTCACTAACCATCAGGAGACTTGACAAAGGAGGATATAACTAGGGAGGGGGAGCTGTTGAAATAGTCACTTGTAAAGAAATCGGGTTCCAAACTCCAGAGGAAGAGCTCACTTTCAGAACAGGTCACTGGGTTTAGCATTCCTCATATACATCAGCCAGCCCAAGGATACAGCTCCACTTTTCTTCTCTTTCAGTGGCTACTTCTTAATGGCATCAGATCCCATGAGAAGCATGAGAGCCACACAGTGGCTGTGTAGTTGCCAGAATCTGTACAGGCTGAGGGAATAATACCTGAATTAAAGAAAAAAAACTTTTCTTGACCGAATGCTACGACCTCTGGGCAACTAGGAATCTTTTCCAGAGAGAGTTTTAGGAGAATTTTTTTTTTTTCTTTTTCTCTAATTACCCGTGACCCCAAATTTCACAGTGTTTGCTGTTGCCTTTTGAGAAGTATGATTTTTCAGGTTTTTTTGAAGTACGTTTAGAACAGGTTCCAACCTTTCAGCACATGGGACCACTAGGACAGTTCAACCTACACTATGGGATATGCTTTACATCCTAATTCCTCTGTTTGTCCCCTTCCTGCACTGTGGAGGGTTCACTGCTTCTGGGATTTATATGCAATGCAGGAACTAAGAACACAAGGAGAATAAAGGCTTTGAGTTTGTATGATGGTACCTGTATTCATGTGGTTATAAATCAAGGAGGTCTAGCCATCCTTGAATAACTATTTCTGAGGTGGTAATCTTCTCTGTAAATTTTTATATATGTGTATACATACATTCATACACACACAGACATATATATATGGTACATAAAATGTCACGTTCTTGATGAGGGACCTTCTCAGAGCCAAGATAGCAGGCAGAGCTTGTCTTATTCTGTCTGTGATCATGCAGGGAAACATTTTGTGATATGAGTAAAACAGCACAGCCACTTGCAACTAAGCTCAAGAGAATGTCCAAACCTCCTGTTCTGCACAATTAGAGCAGCAGAACTAAATCAAACAGAGCCATTTGGAAAATTTTTATGCACTGAAAGGACAGGGTTTCTGTCATGATGCTGGGGAAAGGCCACTGCTAAACTTTTTCCCTAGGAGTACATATGATGCACAGCTATAGAAGAACTGTGTGCCACAGACATGGGGTTTTACTAAACAGGTGTTTAAACAAGCACTGCAAACTGTTACTTATGTATGCTTATAAAGCGGCTTTTTACCACTTCCTCTCAATTTTTTCTTTTTCCTTTCTTTCTTCTCCAAATCCTGCCTTATTTCCATTTCTTTCAAGAATAGTGTTAATGTTTTGTATGAATTTTGAAGTATGCTTTTTTTCCTGAATTTTAAATTTGGTTGTCAAAGGGATGAAAATCTCCTTTAAAAAAGAAAAAAGAAAAAAGAAAAAAATCTGCTACTTTGCTTCACTAGATCAATTTTAATTTAAAGGTACCAAAATTGTTACACTTCAGACTTCAAAGGAAGTTAATTTTTAAATACGTTCAGCTCAGCATTCCTCTTTCTCTAAGAACTCAATTACAGATATTGTCAGGCCAAAACATTCTTTCCTGACAAAATCTCACTTTAGTGTAAACCTAATTTTCATTCTCATAGTGAAGGGAGACAGCATCCCATGTTGCCCCAAATGGAGATGAACATGTGACGAGCTGGGAAATAAGTGGAAATAAAATCAATTTTTCCCTATTAGTGTCAAATTAAAACCAAAATAAGCTATAGAAGTTGCAATAGTAAAAGTGACAATTGAAACAACTATTCTGAACAAATAAACAAGACCAATAGAGAATCAATTTT